AACAGAGCTATTATATATATATATATATATATATATATATGTATATATATATATATATATATATATATCAGTCTTAAAGGCAGGAACAAAAAAGCCTCTCACTGTCCACTCTATTAGACATTCCTACGTTGTTGGTCCACCTTGTTGATGTAAAGTCAGGGACGATAGCTCATCTGCTGCTGCACAGTTTGTGTTGGTCATCCTCTGGTCCTTCATCAGTGGTCACAGGACGCTGGACTATTCCCAGTTCAGCAGTGACACTCCAGCAGCACTGCTGTGTCTGATCCACTCGTACCAGCGCAACACAACTGAAAGTGTAATGAAAAAAGTGAAACAACAGGAGTTTATGAAACTGGAGTTTAAAAAAAATGACTAAAAGCTCCAGAGAAAATGAGACCCCTAAACAACCCCCTGGAAGACCTGGTACACACTGAAACTACCACCACCAGGTAAACAGCACCTAAAGCTTTCATCTCTGAGAGAGAGGAGAAAATCAAGCTGCTTCAGATCTGAAAACATCCACAGGTGTTTCTGTCCATCCTTCCACTGTGAGAAGACGACTCAGCGCTGTGGGTCTGAAAGGATGTGTAGCTGTCAAGAAGAACCTCACTGAGAAAAGGAGACGGACACATCAAACAAAGAAGCTGAACAATGGACTGACCACCCCAGACTCCAGACCCTCAACACCACTGAATGTGTTTGGAAATAAAAATCCAACCAACTTCTAAGACTGAACTTTGGAGGTGTGGAAAAAAAATCCCTGCAAATTTCTTTTAAAAGCTGAAAGTGATTCTCCAAAAAGAACAGAAGAAAAGAAGGTGTCATAATAGCGAAAGGTGGACTGAACAATTTTTTATTAGTAGTTGAGGCTTCTGTGTAATTTTAAGTCTCCTTTTTCCTGACGCTTGTACTTAATGGCTGTTTTAATCGGAAATGAAATACATGAAGGTGGGCTCTGACTTTGGCACAGCACTGTACACACACATTTCCATCCACTCGCCAATACAGAGTTCCACACTCACAATAGGAGTCACTGACTTTCCATTTCATTTTAATAATGCTGCACTCACGGCAGCACGACAGCAATCTGTATCGGGACGCAGGCTTGCGAATGAGTCTCCATTTTTACGAGAAGAATCCAATTTGCCCAGGACAATAGTGGCTGCCTGAGGGTTCCAATATCTTTCTTCAGCTCCTGGCATTCATACCATCTCCACCGGCTCCGCTCACCTCGGCCCTCGGGATTACCCAGCTTGGTTCTGTTTGTCGGCGCCGGTATCTAATCACGTCGAGGGTCCTCATAGGAGTGTATGTGGGTACAGGAATCAGCAGGTACCTCGTGTTGTACATTCGGGCCCCCGGTAGGACAAATACTGCTGTATTGTTGAACTGATAAAGTGATATAGCCAGATAGAGCTAGTGGAGTAACTGTTTGGCTACTGTGACAAAAGTTCTGTATAATGAGCCCAGATTCACAGATTATACCCTGCTGATAAAACCCATAGAAACCATTACTAACGCCCTGTAAATTCACATCCTCGCTTTTTCTTCCCGTGAAATGTTTGCAATCCCCACCGCAACCCCATCTCCTCCCTGCTCCTCAGTCCAGCATCAATACTACTACAGCTGTGAGGGGGGTCTGGCCTTCTAGTTACAGGCAGAAGCCGCCCAGAACGCCAGCCCAAGTTCTCAGAGTTCTCCCCCCTCCCTCAATCAGTCTTCCCTCATACTACCACCGCCATGTTGAAGGCTCACTAATTCATTATTTTCCAGCAAGACAATGGACTCTTCTGGTGACATAAGCTACCAAGTTAATTACCAACAATGATAGAATAACAGGGTTGAAGTGAATAACAAGGTTGAACCCAGAAATCATATTTCTCATAATAATGCAGTAATAAACATATGAAGTATATAATATAGAGCAATAGTTTTCATCAAAATGTTTTAATTAAATGTTTTGTTTAAAGCTATTTTCATTTCATTTGCATTTAAAATAACTGAAGGTAAAAAATTGGTAACAATTCTAGTTATATTCTAATAATTTTAGCCTAAAATAAGCAGCATTCATGTTGCATGCAAACTATGAATAACCTTATAGTTTACGTACATTAAAAATTATATAAATATGTTCTTATTTTCTTGAAATAATTTAGGTAATGGTTAATAATCAAGCTTTATTCATGCATCCAATTTTTTTTTCATTCTGCAGAAAGCAACAAGATGATGCAACGTCTTGTATGTATCATAATAAATGGAATATGCCATTTTTTCTGAGGGCAAGAATGACTTTTTGTAACACTTTATTTGGAGAGTCCACTTTAGATGCTTTGTAGATGCTTTCAAGTTACATTCAACTAAATATCTACTAAATTGACCATCATTTTCTTTAACTCTAAACCTGCTCTCATCCTAACCCTAACCTCAACCCAAAACCTAAACCCAACCCTCTCCCTGGTCCAAATCCGAACCCCACGACTATTTAGAATCAACAGATAGTTTGTTAACAATTTGAGGATGTGTGGATAATCTATAGGGGACTATAGTGGACTATCCAAATAAAGTGAGACCTAAAGTGACTTACATACATACATACATCATCTAAACCGCTTATCCTTCTGGGTCGTGGTCCTGAAGTGACTTTTTTTGTTAAATAAATTAACAAAAATCATTCTTCCAACACTAAATTGGCTAAAAATAAACCAACTAACATTGTAATTATGGTCTGGCTGGAATATATTAATGAATATATTTCATAGAGAAGTTCAGTGTCAGTGGCTATGTTTACATGCAACGATTTTTGCCAATCCGATTGAATACAATCCGATTACAGATTTAGACTGAGGTGTTTATATGCACTCTATTCAACAATCTGATGGAAAATCTTCGTTTACATGCTCACTACAAGTAATCCGATGCAAAATGACGCGCATGCGTGGAGTAGCGCTTAGAGTAAACGTTACCATGACAGCGAACATCACGTGAGGTCCAGACCAGTTTCTGCTCCGCCATGTTGAGCGGTGTAAACTTTCGCCGTGACGCGACGCACATGCGCAGAACATACTTACACGTTCCGATTGGAATGTAATCGGATTCAGGCGTTTACATGGCTATTATACTTCTATTTAACGGATTATTTAGAAGTTTACCCACCTCGTTTAATCGGATAGAAATTGTATTCCGAATGGCCTCAATCTACTCCGATTGAGGTGTTTACATGGACGTATTCTATTCCGATTGAGCTATTAGTCGGATTATTAACGGATTATCAGGCTGCATGTAAACGTGGCTAGTGGGGTGTGAGCCCAAAATCACCAGGTGATTCAGATATTTTCTGTTTTGTGATCATTTACTTGATAATCTTAATGATTTTCTTTTAGGTTAAAGTACAGATCCCTTCACATTTCACAGAAATGAACCCCTCCACACAATAAAAAACACTTCACTGCTTTCAGAAAGGTAATGGGACACAAACCCAACTCCATTCCTGGGAAGTGCCACATATTAGCATGCTAGCTATGTGACTACAAAACTAGCTAGAAAAGTACAAATACTGTGGTAGTCTTTCGAGCAAGATTCTCCAGTTTAATGCTGAGAAAATCCCCTTCTGAGGATGTGTCTTAATGGTGTGTGGAACCTTTAAAAAACTACAACTACTTCGGGGTTGTTTTTACGGAGCCCCTAAGGGGCCGTGGTTAAAAAAAAAAAATGACATTGCGTTCCCTCGCAAATGTTCTGCATTCCCTCGCAAAATATATGCATTCCCTATAATATAGTTCCCCAAAATATAATATCAGACAGCAAGCAAATGTAGGCCCAGAGATGCCCAATGACATTAGCTTCATTAGAGCTTTGTTTTTAGCATAGCTAACGTTAAAAGCTGTTCTCCCAGTTTGGCCAGTCTGTGCTGAGTTTATTCAGCCGTTGTTCTCTACAGTCTCTGTAAATGTAGCTTTTACTGTATGAGGACACTCGATCTCAGTTTCAGTTCACGTCACTAATCATGTTTGCTTTTGAGAAGCGACACAATGTCTTTATATTTCAATCCAAGATCAACGTAAAATTCAATGAGCTGCTTCATGCCTGAGCTTCAGCAAAGCACAGCTTTTGCAAGCGAATGCAAACCGTTTGCATCATAACGCAAAACATTTGCGAGTGAACGCAACATCACTAACCTTTTTTTAACCACGGCCCTTTAGGGGCTCTGTAGTTTTTGGGGGTAAGCTGTTGTAAAATGTTTTCTCTGTTAGCTGTTTAACGCAAAAGGATATCAGACAGCAGAATCAGATCACTGCTAACTGAATATCACATTTTAGCTGTTTAACTGTGGTAATTCTGTCCAGGTCATCATTAGTATGTAGAGAATGGATCACTCAAATGACAGAAAGGACTCAGATAAAGGACAAGCTAAAAGCTAAAGTTAGCAAAGGGGTGGCTAACTCGATATCTTACCTCAGTTCGGCTTCTTTTCTCTGGCTAAAAGGGTAAAAACTCGTTTCTGGCGTCTGTTTTTGTGCTGAATTAAGATAGAATGACTGTTTTCTATCTGATTTTCTTCGACAACTGAGGTAAAAGTTACACTAAATGTTAGCTTGGTTGTATTTATTAGCTTATAGATCAGTAGCTAGGCTAGCAGTCAGGATTGGCTGACATCACAGGGATTGTATGACGTATTTAAGAACAATCATGAAGAAAAACATGACAATAATAGAAAATCATGGATTCTGTCAAACCAATGAGGTAGAATACTGCATAACGCCACAACTAACATATTGAGCTTATGTTTTAAGGTGGAGTGCCCCTTTAGCAAAAGGGCCTGTTGATATCTAAGGAGTAAAGAGAGGCTGGAAAATGGCCATGTAAAAATGAATTACTGTTTTTGTATATAAAACCATACAAACATAATTGATGGACCCCCAAAAAATCAATGACAAACGCAGGATTGATGCAAAATCGTTTACCGACTTTTTTTTTTTTTTGAATCAGACAAAAGACAGAAATCATGGTCCCACTTTTTTATTAGCAGAATATACATGGCGACATGAAGACTTATACCAGCTTTTGAAAATGTCTGTAAATGTAAATGTAAATGCCTGATGTACTTAAAAGTATGAGAAAGAGAAAATAGTAATAGTCTCACTATTCACTGGACGGGTCTTTGTAGGAGCGACATTAAGGATGCGATGACGTCACACACAGACATATAAGGCAACGTGTTCAAGTACCCTGACGCAGACTGACCGGAACTGACATAAAACATATAACTTCACTATTGGGGTAGTGCTAGTGCAAAATTAATGCTGCAATATTAAAACATGGTCTGGGATTGAACTTGATGCTTCGGATATGAATGTAGTAACAACATGGTTTCCATGGTGAAGCTAGAACTGTGAAAAGGGTTAGCACTGTGTGTGTATACCACCCCCCAACCCTTTAACAAAGGCACTTTCACAGTTATTCCACCTGAAAGCGCACCCCTGGTCTGGTTGTAGTGGTACAGTCCTCCCTGATTTTGGTCAACAGCCGGACCAGGCGAGGAGGGTGACCATTGCCTGTGGATTGGCACTGGACAAGGGTTTGAAATCTGAGTGTGGGAGTTTGTGGCGTGGGTGTGCTGAGTCAAGTATGAAGGACGGCTTCACAGTTTGGGCTGCTTCGACAGCTTGATGCTCAGATTTTCCGCCAGCTTGTCGAGGAACTCGAAGGTGTTCAGGTAGTCCGGACGCTGCACACTGGAGTCAGATACCAGAGAGAGAGACACGTCAGATTTCTCCACAGAGACAGAACATGCTGCATTTCACTCTGCCAGACTTACAGCTTCATTCATGAGCCACCATGTGGTGGTTCTAAAGTCACAGAATGTACCTTTAAATCCATAAATACGTAATATTAATCTATGTAAATGTATTCTGAATTGAACCTCAGTGGTCAGCAGCGCCCAGAGTGGTCCAGTGGCTGTTTGAGACTTACTTGGCCAGGCCCTTGATGCAGATGGCCAGGTCCTTGGTCATGAAGCCTGCCTCGATGGTCTCGATGCAGACGGCCTCCAGCGCCTCTGCAAACACGCGCAGCTCGTTGTTCTTATCCAGCTCAGCCCGGTGCAGCAGCCCCCGCGTCCAGGCAAAGATGGAGGCTGAGGAGGAGCCCACAGACATGTGTATGTGAGTTACTGTGTGCATAACCTGGACACAGTCTCAGTCAGCTAGCATGTCCTATTTGTTACAATGTATTGAGTGGATTACAGTGCAAAAGTGTAGAATAATTGTTTAAAGATTTGGAACAATTGGTTTCAATTATATTAACAGTCATATTGTTTCAGATACAGATATGCATTAAGAGATTTAAAAAAAAACCTTAAGAGATTTTATCTGTGTTATAATAAAAGGAACATCTAAAAGGATGTAAAAAGTGGTGGTGAAATATGAGACATGGGAGGTGGGTATATGGATGGATGGTTGGACGGGCGCTTGGGTGGATGGATGGATGGATGGACTGATGAATCGGTGGGTGGATGTCTGGCTGGGTGCTTGGGTAGATGGTTGGATGTCTGGCTGGGTGGGTGGATGGTTGGGTGGATGGTTGGATGGATGATTGGGTAGATGGATCATGAGGGATGAGTGGTTGGGTAGATGGGTGCTTGGCGATGGATGAGGTGACTGATGGAATTGACGGTAGATGGATGAGTGGGTGGATGGTTGGATAAGGGCTTAAATAGATTGGTTAGGGATGGGTGTTTGGGTAGATGGATGGATGGATGGTTAAATGAGTGAGTGGATGGATGAATAGGTACTTGGGAATGGATGACCAAGAGACTGAAGGGACTGATGGATAGATGTGGGGGTGGGTGGGTTTATGGATGGATAGGTATTTGGGTAGATGGGTAAAATGATGGGTAGATGGGTTAGAATGATGCATGGGTGAGTGGGTGGATGGATGGATGGATGGATAGGCAGATGGATAGATGGATAGAATTATGGGTAGATGGGTTAGAATGATGCATGGGTGAGTGGGTGCGTGGGTGGGTGGATGGATGGATGGATGGATGGATGGATGGATGGATGGATGGATGGATAGGTATTTGGGTAGATGGGTAAAATGATGGGTAGATGGGTTAGAATGATTCATGGGTGAGTAGGTGGATGGATGGATGGATGGATGGATGGATGGGTATTTAGGTAGATGGGTAGAATGATGGGCAGAGGGGTTAGAATGATGCATGGGTGAGTGGGAAGATGGGTAGAATAATGGGCAGAGGGGTTAGAATGATGAACAGATGGGTGGATGGTTGGATAGGTGCTTGGGTAGATGGGTAGAATGATGGGCAGAGGGGTTAGAATGATGAACAGATGGGTGGATGGTTGGATAGGTGCTTGGGTAGATGGGTAGAATGATGGGCAGAGGGGTTAGAATGATGAACAGATGGGTGGATGGTTGGATAGGTGTTTGGGTAGATGGGTGTCATTTTTGGGCACTACTCCAATTGCATGTGATATTTTATGACCTCCATCAAGTTGTTGTTGCCATCATTTCACGGTGTATTTAAGTGCTTGTCTGTGTGACTCACCGATGGGGTTGGTGGAGGTCTCCTTGCCCTGCTGGTGTTGGCGGTAGTGACGTGTGACCGTGCCGTGGGCAGCCTCGGCTTCTACCGTACGTCCATCAGGACAGATCAGCACACTGGTCATCATACCCAAAGAGCCATAACCTGAGTACAGGGATACAGGAGTCAGTCTTATACTGAAATATACTGAAAAGGCCTCTAACTGTAGACAAACATACCTTGTTGGTACAGTTACAATTAGACACTACAGCTCATCTTTATAGTATTAGTGGTGGTCCTATGGTGGCCCCTTTCCATCGCTGGACAGGGTAGAAGGGGGCTGATAAACTATGCAGCAACAAATGGGCTGAAGTCTGTAACCGACAAAGTGCACCTATATGGTAGGTGTTTCTTATAAAATGGCCAATGAGTGGCACCTGTAAGGTAGGTGGACCTAATAAGCCGGCAGTGTGTTTGTATATGTGTGTTCAGTCTCACCCTGAGCCACAGAGTCGGACTGGACGTCTCCATCGTAGTTCTTGCAGGCCCAGATGAATCCTCCCTCTGACTTCATGGCCTGGGCCACCATGTCATCAATCAGTCTGTGCTCATAGTAGATGTTCTTAGCTTCGAACTGAGCCTTGTATTCCCTGAAAACACACACAGTCTAGTTGTTTTTTCCTCACGTATAGTACTGTGAAAAGTCTAAAAGGGGAAGTCCATCGATTTTTCAAAATTTCTGCATAATTAAAAGGTGAAGATGTAAGGTCATTCAGAGTGGTTTGACGTGAAATGCTCCATTCTAGAGAAACTTAGTGTTGGTGCTCTTCACAATGGAGGTGATAGGAACCAGACATCTGCCTCTAAAAGCTCCCTTTTTTATCCAGCGAGGTACATTCAGGATGTTTTAAGACCAAATAGTCCCCCCCCCCCAAATTTTTTTTTAGACTTACTTTAGACCACTATTTTACCATCATCAACTTTACATATAAAAGCTCATACAACACATGTACCTTGACCTGTTTTGGAAAGTAAATAAAATGTCTATATTTGTGCTGTAGATATTGTGACCCCTGGTTCCTATCACCACCACTGTAAAGAAATCTGAGTAAATTTCTCTACAATGAACAATTTCATACCTGAATGACTTTGTTTACACCTCAACGATTGAATTATGCAGAAATTTTGAAAACTTGGTGGAATTCCCCTTTCCTTTAGTGTTTCTGCTTATTAAAATGCCAACAGAATGTAGGCAAAATTAACAAGAATGTCTTGTTTCTTGTAGTCATGTTATTGCTGTGTTGTAAACGGGTTTAGAAGTCGTTTTTTTCTTTTACATGGTACTCACTTCTCGTAGATCTCCTGAAAGATGTCCTTGAAGCGGCCGTCGTACTTCTTGAGGATGGTGTTTTTGGTGCTGAGGAACAGAGGCCAGCCTTTGGACAGCGCCATCTGGAAGGAGCTGTGAGCGAAGTCGCGGATGGACTTGTCCGTGTTGTACATGCCCAGCGCGACACCACCGGTGCCTGCATACAAACATAGCAGGTGGGTAAGGTTAGAGTTACTGTGGTCAGGACCACTGTAATTAGGGTCTGGCAGAGGGAAGCCCTCAGAGCCTTCTAGGACTTCACAGAAGGCCCCATGATTTCTGAGAACTAAAAAATGCATGTCTGTAATTTTTAGTTCATTTATATTCAGTAGTCTCACGCTTGGATTCAAACTCGGCCAGTATTACAGCACAACTCTGGTTTCACAGTTAAGCTCAGGATGGGGAAAAACAAAAGGGTTACATTTTTTGAAACACCCAGCAGAAAACTGACCAAAATAGTTTTTTTTTTTTCTCCTTAGTATCTATGTAGATGTAGCCAAGTGAGCTCTCCTATTGGTTAGAACTTCGAGAGCTGAAAAAAGGGGCTACCGCATTAGATTAACCCATAATTACAGTGGAATAAACCAATCACGTTCTGATTTTCAACGGGTGGGGCCAATTTCTTCGGAAAAAAACTGATTAAATATGAGCAGCAGCTTAATCAGCAGGTTGTTAGAAACAGAAAACAGCAGTGGCAGCTCTTCACCACAGTAGTTAATTGTAGAGAAACTTACAGACTCAGACCAGCGCAACACACACTAACACACCACCACGACATCAGTGTTACTGCAGTGCTGAGAATGATCCACCACCCAAATAGTACCTGCTCTGTGAGGGTCCATGGGGGTCCTGACCACTGAAGAACAGGGTGAAAGGAGGCTAACAAAGTATGCAGAGAAACAGATGGACTACAGTCTGTAACTGTAGAACTACAAAGTGCACCTATATAGTAAGTGGAGCTGATAAAATGGACAATGAGCGTAGAAACAAGGAGGTGGTCATAATGTTACGCCTACACAAGTCTTCTGAGCTTTTATATGTAATGTCAATGACTGTAAAATAGTCATAATCTGAAGAAAGTCTTCTTTGGGGACTATTTTGCCTCACATCACCCTGGATGTACCCCTCCGCCATTAAAAACAAGGAACGAGTCAGAGTATTCAAAACCATTCCATGTAATAACTTTCTGTGAGGGAGCTTTTAGAGGCATTAAACTCCTCAGACGCCTGGTTCCTATCACCACCACTGTGAACAAATCTGACTTGGTTTGTTTCTCTAGTATTACATTTCACATTAAACCACTCGGAATGACTTTGTGTCCATCTTAACAGCTTAGTTATGCAGAAAATTGGGCAAATCAGTGGAATTCCATCCCCGGTGCTCACCGAAACTAAGTATACTTCACCTCAATCCTATCAGTGATCATGTGTACCCTAACTGACCCCATGCATTTGTTCATGCAGTCGGCACGGACAGGGCATCAGAAAAGCCAAAGGTTAGTCTGCTACCGTGCTTAACCATTAACCATTCCAACAAAAAAGCAACAGGTTTCACTTGCATCACTCTGTTCCTGGACTCTACAGGTGCCAGTCAAAACCTGAGCAAAAAATTGCTATTTAATCAGCTCGGTATTTGCTCACAGAGGGGTGGGGCGCACTTGCACAAAAGACAATCCATCCTTGTGGACAGAGGGTCATATACTGCAATATTGACAAGGTAAACATGCAACACTAGCACAGGCACCAGGCTGGTTGCATGGTGTCATGCTACCGAGTCATGATCAGCTCATTCTGTGCCGTGGGTTACTTGGAGGCACCATGACAGGACAGGATGAATAACCGAACAACAACAAATAAAAAAACAATGCTTCCACTGTTTTGATCCAAGGCCAAATTAGCGGGCATCTCGGGTCAAACGCTACTGTTTCTTTCTTTACCTTCGAAATCGTGGACGACAAACTTGAGAGGCTCCCCTCCATCCTTGGGCGTGTAGGTCATCTCCACTCGTCCGGGGCCAGGAACAACAAAGTCTGTGGCCTTGTACTGAAACCGGAGAAAAGGTAGAAACGTTAAGCTTCACATAGGAGCTGTCTCATAGAGAAAGAGTGACATCTAGTGGCCGAATACAGTCAGCGCAAGTCAGAGGTAAAACAGGACAAGGGTGACATCTAGTGGCTGAATTAAGTCATAACTGCTGTCCCTAACAGCACTTTATGGTTGAAGTACTGTTTCAGAATTTATAACAAGGAGTCTGGAGTGATCTAGAGCTTTTCTAACTGGGGTTCTATTAAACTTTAGAGCCTCAAACCATTTTTGGTGTTTTTGCTACTGGCCAAAATGCAAAATGTTACCATCGCTACACCTGTAAACATGCTGACTCGCCTCCTACAGCGGTTTTGCAGTAGTCTTTAGTGGAATTCCTTGGTTTAATGACTACGAAAAACCCATTCGGATGATGCATATTGAAGGTATAGTTCCAATGTTTTTCTCCAGCTGGCTAATTCTTCTGAATTATTTCTTTAACATTATGGCTAGCGGTCAGGATAGTCCAGTCAAATCAAGTCCAAGTTTATTTTATATAGCGCTTTTTACAACAGCTGTTGTCACAAAGCAGCTTTACAGAACATCTGGGTCCAAACCCCAGTGAGCAAGACAATGGGGTCAGTAGCATGGAAAAGCTCCCTAAGAGCAAGAGGAAGACTCAAAAGGAGATCCCAGCCTCCTCTGGTCGACACCAGATAGCAAAACAATAACATATGAACGAATACACAAAGAATAAGGTTTTACAATTAATATAAAATCTTGAATACAGAGAAAAGGAAAAAGAAAGCAGCCTGTCATTGGACAGAAGTATTTAGATTAACCAATGATAACCAAAGACTGATTGTTATACGTGGTCATTACAATACCGGCGATTAATGTCCCCTTTAACTGATTCAGATCTTCTCCAGGGTAGTTGATAAGCATGCATGTCCATGTTGGTCACAGTAAAATGGATCAGCATGTGGAACAGGAGCTCTCTGTGACCTACTGTGTTTCCCATTACTGTATAAAAGATGCTCCAGGCTGCCTTTATTGTTGGATGCACTGCAAATGCACTCATTCAGAATGCAGCTGACAGTGCTATGGAAAGTGTGAAGTATATTCTTAATAATGTGTTTGCTTGCAGCTTTGTTGGGGGTTAATGTCATTAAAAATTAGAGCCATTAAAAATTAGGGCCACTATACATTAAACTCCTTGGAACCACCGGTGGTTCCAAAACGCACTTCGTCATATTCTTTACTTCATGACTTTCATATTTTATAAGCTTCATTCTAAAGGTGGGGGTCGTATGAGAGCTGTAACTGTCTTCTTTCCAGTCAAACAGATGGGTGATGTAATTTTAAACCCTTATAATAAAAGAAGCTGAACTCACAATTTTTTTTTCTACTGAAAGTCGACCCATTTTTCCACAAATCTGGGCTATGAACTATAAACAGATGGCGTCTCTTCAGTGATCTGCTCTGTAAAAATTATTTTTATAAAAAAATACAAAGAGCGTCTAAGATTTTTGGCTTTCAGCAGTAAATTGTAAGCATATAGCAATATGTGTGATCATAAAACACATGTTCTGTTCATTTTAGGGGAGCTTTTTTAAAAATAAATAAATAAATAAAAATTTACATTTATTTCATGCAGTTACTGAATAATTTGCCTTATGATTTGGGAACGTAAATTCAGACTGAAAAAACAAAATATACCCTGGAGAATAAGAGAATAAAACTAAACAGTATTGAGAAGCAAATAACAATGAATGAAAATTGTACTGTTAATCAAATATGCTTAGTACTTAATGCATATTTTTACTCAATTCAGTACATATTTTACAGCACAACTAGGATAGTCTGCATGAGACTGCATGTTGGCACAGCTACAAATCCACAAATTCCATGTCAGTAAAGCAAGCAGCTCTACAAAGTCTGAATATGACTCTGCGTACTGTTGACGAATTCAACTGTTAAGGTGTAAACAGAGTCGTTCAGAGTGGTTTGGTGTGAAACGCTCTGTTCTAGAGAAACTTAGAGTCAGAATTGTTCACAGTGGTGGTGATAGGAACCAGACGTCCACCTCTAAAAGCTCCCTCACAGACAGTTATTACATGAAATGGTTATGAATTCACTGCCTGATGCCCGAGACGTCGTTTTATTATAGTTTTGAGATCAGCTTTTTGCCCAAAACATATTTTTTAACATGTAGTGTAGTGTAGATGTGTAGGTTCACTGGTGGTTTGGGATAGTAAATCAAATATTTATTAGACATCGTGACCTCTGGTTCCCATCACCACCACTGTAAACAGTCAGAGTCTGTAAATAACATACCGCCCTGCTGTTATACAGCGCACCGCTAGGTTCGCCCTGAGTGGATCGGTTCCAGACTGTGGGATTGAGTGTACTATTAACAGTCTGGCACCCAGGCTGGCGACTCAGGTACGAGACAAATCCTTCTCAGGACCTGTTTAAGAGGAGCACCGTGTGAGATGTGCACTGTGTGATGAAAGCTACATCCGTCCAAAGGGCACCTCAGCGTACCTGACTAAACTTTGCCCATCTGCCCATACAACTAATTCATTTCACCCCCTTTTTAAATGATCTATTAGGTTTATTTTCAAGAGGAGGCACTGAGTGGATCATCGATCGCTCGGCCTTAAATTACCTAACAGAATATTTCATAAATATCAGTGAGGATGTCAACATAGCGTGGCCTGGTGATAACCCCTGTTGTACTATTTCAAATGAACTGCATCTATGCTGTAAAACAAGAATGTAGTAAAATACAAAAAAAAGAGAGAAAGAAAGAGAAAAAAGCAGAATTGTGTTTTGAAATAAAACAAGAGTACGTTCATTAGCTTTACTGTTAACCCTACTACTGTAATATATCCTGAATTTTTACATTTTATTTAAAAATTACTTATTTATAATTAGCATTATAATTTACATTTTATTACTCAACCCTTCTTTGAAATAAAAGACTTTCAACGTAGGAACTTCAGAGCTTCATATTACTATTCAAAACATATTAAATAATATATTAATGCATTAAAATATAAAGTAAAATATTTATTTTAAGTATGTAATATGTTGTAAAAATATTTTAATATTTAAATATACATTATTTAAACATAAAATTATTTTTAGAATTGTTAAAAATTATATATTATATTTTGTAATTCTTATAATAAATAAATATTATTTTAAGGTATATTTTAACAAAATTATTTGAACATATTTTATACATTAATATATTAATTCATATAATGTTTTAAACAATAATAAATATTAAACCCAAAACTAACTTGGTTTTTTTTTTCATTGTTACACCTTTACATTCTGTGTCCTTGAGAGCACCAGGCTTTAGCATTAGCAAGAAAACAGTTGCTATGTTATTGTAGTTAGTCCTGGCAGCCTTAAAGGGCCCATATTATGAAAAAAACTCAAATTTCAACACTTCTTTGAAATAAAAGACTTTCATTATAGTAACTTCAGAGCTTTAAAATGTATCGCCCTCTCAACCGTCTATATACGAAAAGTACAAAAACAGGCCTTTTTCAATCCACTGTTTTTTCACATATGCATTCAGCCCCGCCCATCCATACTGAATGTTGTACTTCTTTTTGAATGAGGCACAATTCAGGGCAGCCAATCAGAACAGAGCTTGATTTTTTTAAGTGATAATAAGTGAACATCCTCTACAGTGAACATACTTAAATATGGGATTTTTTTTCCTGCAAATTTTAATGCATAATTTCTATTTATTTACTTATTTATTTATTTTAACATAGTTTAACATAAATAAAATGTGCCATAACTTTAAATACAGCAAATAAACAGTAATTATGGGTTAAAATGTGCAGTAGTGTGTTCTCTGTAGAGGATGTGTTCACTTATGGTCACTTACAAAATCAGCCAAACGTGTTATTTGACCAGGAAAGCCCAAACTTGTGCATATGACTGTATAAAGGGCTAAAGAGGTAAAGAGAGTTTGGAGAACTGCCTATTTTTGGTCCATTAATGCACACAAATGTTATCTGTGGACCTCAAAAATCTATGATATGGGCTCTTTAATCAATAGTTGACAGTTGTAAGTAAAACAAAATGCCATAATTGTCCATAATTGCCTTCTGATGTTGACGTGTTGTGAATGTTGGGTCAGGAATCTGTCTCTAGCGTGGGGTCAGTAGCGGCGACATGGCTCACCTGGTCTCCGTGGGCGTGTCTGCCGATGATGATGGGTTTCACCCAGCCGGGCACCACGCGCGGGATGTTTTTGCAGATGATGGCCTCTCTGAACACGGTTCCGCCCAGGATGTTCCGGATGGTTCCGTTGGGCGAGCGCCACATCTGCTTCAGCTTGAACTCCTCCACGCGCTTCTCGTCCGGCGTGATGGTGGCACACTTGATGCCCACGTTGTAGCGCCGCACGGCCTCCGCGGCCTCCACTGTCACCCTGTCCTCAGTGGCGTCACGGTTCTCCATGCCTAGGTCGTAGCTGCACACACAAACAGCAGGAACATAAATGACCGACAGCAAAACAATTCGTTTCATATGTGATTCAGTGAATCACAAAACTTGAAGTTTTATAACAATTTGGCTTGATTATGATTCTTTAGGAAACGATTCAACATATCAAATTTCAAATTTCACAATTTGTTAGGAAAGGATTCAATGAATCACTGAATCTCAGATTTCACCACAATTTAACACAATTTAAAACTGATTCTTTAGGAAATGATTAAATGCATCATGATTCTCAGATTCTCAGTTTGATTAGATTATGATTCTTTAAGAAATGATTCAATGAATCGGGAAACTCGTTTCACTACAATTTGATTTGATTCTATTATGATTCTTTAGGAAACGATTCCACATATATACAATTTCTAATTTAACAATTCTTTAGGAAACGATTCGATGCATCATTGAATCTCAAATTTCACCACAATTGGATTACTTCATGATTTTTTAAGAAACAATTCACTGCATCATGAAATCTTGAATTTCACCACAATTTGATTTGAATATGATTCTTTAGAAAATGACTCAGTACATCATGAAGGCTCAGATTTCATCACAACTTGATTTGATAAAGGTTCTTTAAAAAAATATTCAAATTCACAAGAATTTGATTTATTTATGATTCTTTAAGAAACAATTCAATGAGCGATAAAACCTCAAATGTCACCACAATATGATTTGATTCTATTATGATTCTCTAGTCAACAATTCAATGCAATTGATTACATTTCTTAGAAAAAGATTCAATGTAACATAAAATCTCAAATTTCACCACAATTTGACTCAATTTAAAATTGATTCGTTAGGAAATCATAAAATGCATCACTGATTCTCAAATTCTCCATTTGATTAGACTATGACTCTTTAAGAAACAATTCAATGAATCGTCAAAACTGACATTTCACTACAATTTGATTTGATTCTATTACGATTCTTTAAGATATGATTCAGTGAGTCATGAACGCTCAAATTTCACAACAATTTTAACTGATTCTGTTATGATTCTTCATGAAATGATTCGATGCATCATAAAATCTAAAATTTCGCCAGAATTTGATTTGATTCTATTATGATTCTCTAGGAAATTATTAAATCCAATTGATTATATTTCTTAGAAAATATAAGATTGTGGTGAAAAAGATTTCACCACAATCTGAGTCAGTTCAAAACTGATTCTTTAGGAAATGATTAAATGCATCACTGATTCTGAAACTCTCAGTTTGATTAGATTCGATTGGGATTCTTTAAGAAACAATTCGGTGAATCATGAAAGCTCAGATTTCACCACAATTTTACCTGATTCTTCATGAAATGATTCAATGCATCATGAAGTCTGCAGTTCATTATTTTGGTACAAATTTAAAATTACTCACACAGTAATGAAATACAGGCAATAAAAATAATACATAACTTGAGCACTAAACTCTCCCTATTATAAAAAGCTCACTCTACTCTTCTTATTACATAAAGCTCACCCTAAACTCTCCGTATGAAGAAAACAGTTAGTATATAAACATTTATTCCTCAGTGTTAAAACTGTGGAAATACTCATCACATTAACATCATTATCAGCCCTTATTTCCACAGATGTGCTGCTGTAAATCACACCAACTTCGTTGCTGCAGGCAAAACACCTCACATGTTGAGCACGGCTCTTAGCGAACGAGGCCGCTGGGAGACCGCCGCTCGCACTGCAGCAGCACAGCACAAAGACATTCTGTTCCAAATGAACTGAGACCAAACAGCCCTGTACACCCAGCTTCTCCGCACTCGGATAATAAAACAGCCTCGGAAAGAAATAAGGCCTCTAAAACGCAGCAGGGCCTACACATATATTACTAACTCTGTGCCCTGCGAGAAGGTTTTAAATCCTGAATGAAATATACTGGCAGAGGGATCATAAGTAATGCACTGGTGCAGTGCTGCAGGCGTATTTCAGAATATGTAGGGAAAACAACCGAAAAACGAGCATCTACCACATTTAACAGCATGTTTCTACAACGACACCACTGATGCGATGCTTCTACACTGCGGTGTGACATATTCAGACAATAACAGACAGACTGAAGCAGCTGCCCATTGACTTCTATTATGTACGTGTTTTGAGCCACTATAGCAAAGATACAACATGAGAGAAGAAAGGATACAAAATTGTGGATTCTTTCAAACTGATGAGGCTGAGCGATGAAATCCTGCGCTATAGAACGCTACATACCATGACAGATGACATATTAAAGGGCCGATATCACCGACGACTGAATTTCCTCACTTTTTTGAAATGACAGGGTTTGATGTAGCACGAAAACATCGGTACATTTTCAAAATAATCGGTTCATTTTTGTGATGCCACACAAACCACTGTATTTACATTTAGCAGTCTCTTAAACTTACAGCAGTTTAGCTCCCATATATGTTGAAGAAATAAGGGCAGTTATAGTCTGGACTGCTATTCGAATGAAGCACGATAGCATAACGGTGTTTTAGGGCCACTGTTAAAAAAAATATGAAAAAAATGAAGTCGTAATATTTCGATAATAAAGGCATAAAGTTACAAGAATAAACTGTCAATATTTAGAGGATAAAATCATATTTTTTTTAATAAAATTGCAATATTTCAAGAATAAAGTCGTTTTTTTTTAGAATAAAATTGTAATATTTCAAGAATAATGTCATAATTTTTCAATAAGAAGATAAGAAGAACCGTAGTTACAAGAATAACTCATGTTAATTCGAGTATGAAGTTGTATTTTTTAAAATAAAAATGTAATATTTCTATAATAAAGTCGTAATATTTTGAGGAAAAGTATAATATTTCAAGAATAAAGTCGTATTTTTTTAGAATAAAGTTGTAATTTTTTTAGAATAAAAGTGCAACGTTTCGAGAATACATTTTTTTTCGAGAATAAAATCGCAATATTTCAAGAAAAAAGCCTTTTTTTAGAATAAAATCACAATATTTAGAGAATAAAGTAGTTTTTTTAGAATAAAATTGCAATATTGCGAGAATAAAGTCGTATTTTTTAGGATAAAATTGTAATATTTCAAGAGTAAAGTTGTGATGTTTCGATAATAAAGTCATAAAGTTGCAAGAATAAACTCATGATATTTGGAGGATAAAGTGGGCTAATTGTAGGGGGGCTGCTATCATGCGTTGGAGCCTCGGTTGCTTTACTGGAGAGGATGAAGACGGCGAGCGCGCCGGAGTTCCACTCCTTCGGGATCGATCATTTTGGTTACCATTCTCAGTGTCTGTGAAACTACATGCCCTCTTCGAATGGCACAGAGATGTAGCCACTGATAGCCATGTTTCTTATACAAATAAGACTCTGGTGCTGATGAGCCAGGAGAGACAGGGAGACTGAGTATTTCTTTATGGGTGAGACTGATATGAAAGTATAACTTTACCTCATTTTAACATGAGGAAGTTGCTACTTTCCTTTTGCAAACCCTTTGGCAATAATACTGCGACTTTTCCTGGTAATGATGCCACTTTAATTTCTTAATTCTACGACTTTAATACTATAAAATATTATGATTTTAATCTAGAAAATACAACTTTATTCTCGAAGTCTGTTATTTTTATTTTTTTTTTAATAAAATTCTATTCATTTTCTCCAGACATTTTGGAAATTCCCTATATAAAAGAGTTTCAATCACTCAGCTGAACCAGTCAGCAAAATAAATCATGACGTTACAACAATAAAACTGAAGCAAAAAAAAGTTCTCAAAAATGAACAAAAAGGCAAAAATACAAGACTGTGTATTTAATGTGTTTGATGTCAGAATTAACTACATATCCCACAAAGCACTGCGAATGGTTTTAACAAATCATTTCCACTCTTTTCACCAACTTCTGCAATTGTGTGTTTTCTCTTTAGTGTTTTTGTGAATATTTTTCTATTTTCTAAGCCGTTTTTCCTCTTGGGTCACGCAGGGTGCTGGAATCCCAGCGCTCCCTGTGCGGAAGGCAGGAAACACCCTGGACAGGTCGCCAGTCCATCACAGGGCAGACACACAGACATACACAATCACACAAACACACACAGGGGCAGTTTAGTATCTTCAACTGGCCTGACTGCATGTCTTTGGACTGTGGGAGGAAACCAACAAAGACATGGGGAAAACATGTAAACCCCACACAGAAAGGACCCTGGTCACCCGGCCGGGGAATCGAACCCAGACCCTTCTTGCTGTGAGGCGACAATATCCATTTTAGTATTTCTATCAAGTGTCAGTCATGGTACAGTGAACCTCTATGAGAATTATATTAATCCAGATATGGCCTTTCTCCTTATTTAACCCACTGAAGTGGCTCCAAAGTACAAATCTAATTACTGAAAGGGTGGAGAAAGTTTAAGAGTTTAACGCTTGTTATCTGTGCTCAGACCTTGGGAGCCTACTGTTGGGTCAGGGTGGAAGAGATTTGCTGTGTGGCGTATGACATGATCTGTGTGGAGTTCATGTCAATAATTGTTCACAAAAGCCTCCACAGCTGTACGTGATGTCTTTCATGCTAACTCAAAAAAAAAAAATGACCGGCTACCCCCACAAACTGAACTCCACCACTCAGCTGATTTCAGCCCTCCGAGCTCCCTTCTCCTCCGAGTCCCTGAGTAAACACAGCCTATCTGACAGTGAAAGTGCACTCGCTGACAGACGCCACTTTGCTTTTAATGATGCCCAACCACACAGTTTGAATTTCCACGGTAACAGCGATGTCTCTGATTGGTGGAGCTTGCTTTAGGACGTATGAGTAATGTACTTCTTTATGAATTATTATGAAAACATAGTTGAAATGAGACTGATTTGTGACTCTACTGAGCAAATATCACCATCTCTCTCTCTCTCTCTCTCTCTATATATATATATATGCCCCAAAATTACTTGCGGGAAAGAAGTCTGGTTCCATTGATTTTCATGAAAAGTAAAGTGTGTGTATATAATATATACACAAAGTCGAGTCACATTATTATG